CGTGTCGGCGGCTGCTGTTTGGCGCATATGTAAAGAAAGATGTAATTAAAGACTAAAGAGGGGGAGTTCAGCGCCGGCGCTTGCAGCCCGTTAAAAACTGCCCTGATTAAGTATACAGTGGGTCACAGAAAGTGACGCTCGCTCAGACTTGTTGCAAAAAAGACCACCTTTCAGGATCAACACCGCGCGTGCAAATGAGAATATAATACCCTCAAAACACTGGGTGTGCATTAAACAGTGTCCGGCAATTGCATAGATTTTTTTTTCTAACTCATATCTACATTTTTCGTGCCTCCATCGTGGCTTTTATTCGAGCCCAAAATTCGGCTTGAAAAAATCGAGCGTCACTTTCTGTGACCCACTGTACTTAGTGGAGTCCGTGGTATGTGTAGCACCTAGAGTTAGCGAAGGGCTCCACTAAATTCAGCTCCTAATTCACTACGGATACAGATGTAGGTACAGATGTAGGTACAGATTAGATAGATAGATACCTACTGTACCTACAACGCGCCGCCAAAAGTCGCCACGATCCGATCATCTACCTATCTTCACACCGTGATGCCATGTCGTATCGAACTCATAGAACACCACTAACATCTCAGATTGTCTCCCCTTGAGCATTGCATGGATCTAGCATGTCCATTCTATCCCCATTGGCTCGCCCAGAACCCAATTGAAGCTCAATCTCTTTCTGCACGCTGGCATTGACCGCCCCCATTGTGACTCGCTCCATTCAGGACCCATCTTGCATTGCATCGCACCAGCATCTATATTCGAGATATAGGTCATAATCTATCGTCCCATCGTCGATCCATTTCCGTCACGTGGAAGGGGCCCAGGTCGTCTATAGGTGGGCCGTTAGGATTCGGAAATTGCCTAGTCAGGCGCCTATCGCATAGGATCTGCCAGTTGACGCGCGTGAAGATGGCATCTATCAATGACCTTGCCACCGCCGCCACCATTGCCTCATCGGCAGTCGCCCTGCAGTCCCTGCCCACGGAACAGGCCGCACCACCACAGCCCAACTCATCCACCCCTCCTCCCCCACAGGATCCGCTCTCACCGCCCTCGCCCTCGACACAGCTCCAGGCCCAGGCCCAGGCCCAGGCCCATGACATCCATGTCCAGCGAAGTCAGTACGCGAGTAGTTCCCCCCCGTCAGAAACACAAATGCCAATATCAACTCCAGGTGCAGACAACCCAGACCCAGGCCCGGACCCCTACCTGGATTTGAGCCTGCCCAGCACTGCTGTCGCGTCCACGCCGTCCCCAGCGCCAGAATACAGCGGCAGAAGTGAAACCGTAAACGCGGGCGCGAGCGTTGCAGGGCCCAATACACCTACGCCGTCGTCGTCGTCGTCGTCGTCGTCATCATCACAAGGGCCAGTTCTCACAGCGCCGCAGATTTCACTGCAGAACCCGGCGCACGCGACGATTCCGCCACAGGCCACATCTAAGACAGCAGAAGTGAAAACGGGCGAGAAGAGCTCGCTTGAAGCAGACGACGATATGGTCGACGTGGACGAGCCGAGGCAGCCGCCTGTGCGTGGCGCCTTCATTGTCTTTGAAGGTATGGACCGCGCTGGTAAGACGACGCAGGCCAAATTGCTACAGCTGCGGTGCATCGAGAGCGGGAGGCAGGTCAGGTTTATGAGGTTTCCTGGTATGTCCTGAAGAAAACCTGTACTCGACCCCTTATAAAACTAAACCATACGCAGACAGAACGACGACGATCGGGCAAATGATAGATTCGTATCTAAAAGGCGAGTCCACGATAGACGACCACGTAATTCATCTACTCTTCAGCGCGAACCGTTGGGAAGCAGCGTAAGTGAATCCATCCATCCCCTTCTTTTTCCTTTCCTCCCCGGCCAAGTCAAAGGTGGCACCGGCCTAACAACCTGTTAAATGGAAATTTGGTGTATGATAGGGAGAAGATCAAGTCAGAGCTAGCGGCCGGCCATACCATCATCTGTGACCGGTTCTACCACAGCGGCATTGTCTACAGCGCAGCGAAGCAATTGCCGTCGCTCTCGCTTTCCTGGGCGAAAGCCCCCGAGGTGGGGCTGCCGCGCCCGGACATGGTGCTATTCCTCGACCTCGAGGAGTCAGTTGCGCGAGCGCGCGGCGGCTGGGGCGGCGAGGTCTACGAGAAAGGCGAGATGCAACGCCGCGTGCGGGAGTTATTCTGGGGCCTTAGTATGGGTGATCTGGGCTCTGCCGCGGGTAAGACTAGTACTTCTGCTGCTGATAACGGCGGCGGCCATGGGAATGGGAGCGGGAATGGAAAGGCGAAAGAGGGAGTGTCGGGGAATGGGATGAGTAGTAGTAGCGATGTGAGGGCGGGATCCGAGGGAGAGTTCAGACAGGAAGAAGAGGATATTCAGATTGTGGATGCGGATCTGGGTGTTGAGGAGTTGGCGGAGAAGGTTTGGGAGGTCGTGCGTGGGCGACTGGAGGCTGTGGAGAGGGGTGAGGAGGGAAAATCCGTTCGGATTGTCAGGTGAAGTCACTGTAGAATTTAGAAATAGGTCGGTGATGGTGAAAAATAGGGGCCGTTTATGGACTTTGAGGGTATTGTTTGCTTTATGTGTGCTGGTGTTCTTGCTTGGTGGTGATGGCGTCTTTAGGGGAGGGAGGTTATCCACCAGGGGATCCGAAAAATATCCAAGATGCTTGAACGTTGCGTGTCAATTATTGCGTCTCTGTTCTATTCTGATGTGACTGTAGCCCCTATCCAGGTCATGGGCGAGCGATCCGGGGAGCACGATGTCTCCCCAATGCGTCAAGTGGTGAATTCATCCGGATGTTGTGTTGCTGACGATAATCTACGACGTAACCTTCAAAGCATCTCTTCAAAACACCGTCGACACCGTCACTATCGAGATCGGGTACGTCAAACCTCGTACAGTAACCATAGAATCCCCGACTCCCTTTTTATTTCACGGGTCTCCACACGGCCCGAGAAAACAAAAGGGGGGACGAGGTCAAAAAAAAAAGATGTGCCGCCCTACCACCCGCGCTCCGTCATCGAATCGAACCCCCACACTATGTGATATATCGGAGCCTTTGACCATCCGGAAGGTCTAGACATTCCCGGTACGCCACACAGCCGGATTGTGGTTGTTTCGCAACTCAGGAGCTCTGGCAGAACGAGTGCTTGCCCGGGTATATATAATGGTAGGGTACATCTAACGCCTTGTTTGGTAATGGGGGTTTTCCCTATTCGCGCGCGCCCTGAAGCTTCTTTACTATTTTGCACCGGAATCTGATGTTGCGCTGCGTATGTCTTATAGGGCCCTTTTTCACCTATATACCTCCCGTATTCCCTGGATAGTCATAGATGTAAATAATACACACCCGAGAGAGAAGATAGATCTTTACCACCGATACATCTACCTACCTACCTGCCTACCTAGGAAGAACATGTGATCCTAAAATCGAAGAAGAAAGTGGCTATGTCGCAATGCTTTCGAAACCCGGCCTTTCACGAGTCCATTCCTAAGGGGAGGGATCCTCACTCTGTTGGTACCTTGGATCTGTCTGGACTCTGGACTTAACCAAGGTTCCCCTGACCCCCATTGCCACTCATCTGCCCTTCTTTTTGACTCGTCGCCCCTTTTATCCCCATGATAGAAGCCTAATTACTAACGTAGGTACATCACGAACGGTAAGTTGATTTACTGCATAGCAGACACTCCAAAAGCAACGGACATTGCCTTTCTGAACAAAAATACATGAAGACCTTGGAGATGTGTCGCGTTGCAGCCGAAAATAAGGTATGCGACCCGTACACTATTTTTCTCCGGATGTACGGGTCCCAGGGCCGGGTTAATGGTACAGATAGTCTTTTTTTAAAAAAAAAAAAAAAAAGCCTCCTCGGCGAATAGGGAGACTCTTGTTATTACATCAAAGCCGCCAGGGTTGACAGAAAGAATATCCGTAAGATCTCGTAGATTGTAAATTTATCGCCTCACCACTTATCTAGAGAGTTTGCGAATTCAGGGCGTCCCGGGCTCGTGGACATGACTTGCTATGCCGTCTACTCTATTCGGGACTTGCGCAAGGACCGGTTCAAAAGGGTTAGTTAGCACGGGGGGGGGGG